TAGTAGGTTCCATTGCGTTTGAACATTGCACCACCTTCGACAAAGGTCTCACCAAAATATCCACTATTAAATGTTCTACCTAATGAACTGAGATAGTCATCAGACAGTTTCTCCACAGACATTAAATGATCTGGTTTGTAAATACTTGCATCAATATGCGAATTATAAATGATGTACGCATCTCCGTTATCATCTTGAAAGAGATTCAGATCTCCCGTATTTTCCCATGCTAGAGTAGTAACCTTGTCAGTAACCAGTTGAAAGGGACCTTGTGGTGTATCCGATATAGAAACAGCACACTGCGACTGAGAGACACCTGTACCTGTAGCTGGCAGAAAGTTAAACCACATAACCCATTTCTTCGTCATTGGGTTTGGTAAAACGCGAGGGCCAAACATTATTCCTTGAGTCTTCATTGAAGACATTTGAAAGACATATCCACGAAATGTCCATTCGGAGAGATCCGTCGAAGTATAAAGACTAACATTATGATTGAGTTGGAAACCGCATCCGCCTGTGTGCCATACAGTACAACCTGATGGACCCGACGGTTCTTTGCATAGGCCATAACTTGCACCATAATAATAGTAGAGACCGTCATGCAGAAAGACATTGCCATCATGAGCATCCATTATATTGCCATTAGTATCTCGACGAGGAATGACATTACTGATCGTCACTTTATGACATGTGATGATGCTGATTATTTCAGTCAAAAGAATAATGATGACAATGAGATTTGTTAGCATTATTATGCTGCTAAATCTGAAAGATATGCCAGCCCAATTTTTTCAAGTTTAATCTCAAGTTTCAAACTTGGATTTGACAAGCTTGAGAATTTTTTGATCGATTCTGTCTGCACTATAATCAAGTGGGACATACTACATGGCAGTTATCGTTTTGTACCATGTATGAAAAAGCTCTCAGCGTAAACCGTATGCAGTGGCGGATCTACCGCACGGCAGTTCGGCGACCGCCATCCCCTCGCAATTTTTTTTCTTAGTTTCCCTCAGCAGAAATGAAAAGAAAAGGAGTTGTACTGACTCAAATAGACTTTGAAAATGGTTTTTTGATCATAATCGCCATTCCCTTACTGATTTTCTGGATCTGCCACTGACCCTATGATATTATAATGTGAAACACGACTGAGCCATTTTCGTTGTATATAAAGACCCTTGGTATGCTTATCACGATCCAGAGGAAGATTAAAAGAGCAGCATGTCCAGATATCTGTCCGGTAAGATTTAACATTGTAGGATCGAAATATGTTTGTGGCATGTCTTAGGCGATTATAGTACAGATTGGAATCGATCGAAAAATACTCAAGGTCAATTAATTTGGTTTGAGGCATCCCTATCCTCCCTGAAGCAATGGTTACGTCACAGATCGATAAAATGCATCTTTGTTGATGACGGTGAATTAAATTCTACTTTTTATCAGATGAAGCAGAATGCTTCAAACTTAGAGTTGATGACTGAAGACGACCTTTTCCGCATTCTTTGTTACCTGTAGTAGTCGCTATTTTAATAATAATTGATTTTCAGTCGAAAAATGCAATATAGCAAACTTTTGTACGTTCGACAATGAATATGAAAATTAAGAAAATTTTCTTCTATTTCTTACTACCTTTTTTATTTTGAGTTATCATTCTGTTGTTATCATCATAAACAAAATAACAGAAGTAATTTATCAGGTGATATCATACCTTAGAGAAGAAAACTGATAAGAAGAATGAATAACTCTTTGCTTTCATAGTAATGACAAGACTTTCGATCAACAGAAGCTCGCAGAAGGGTAAAAGTGGGCTAGTGTGATTTTCGCACATGCTTCTGATAAGAGATACTCAGCATGTAATGAAAACTACCCCAAAACCGACAGTTAATCGCAGTTTTACCAATTCTGTTACAGACTCTATTAACCGCGGTTGCGCGATACATTTTGCCGGTTAACGGCCGATAGTTTACCGGTATGAGTATTGGTAGTGTTGCAACCGGTAGGGTGTTTCCTTACCAGTATTGATACCGGGAAGACCAGCTGTTACACCGACCTGAGTCATCGTTTACTTTCCTTGTCTTGTGACAATCAAATGAACCTCTCAACTATAAATTTTCTCTTTTGAAATCTATTGATGGACATAAAATTTCTTATGATTACTAATGCTATAATAGCTTTATACAATAATGAAATGTCTGTCATACGTAAAAATTCGGAAGCAACTATTGATGTACTTTATGTCTCTGAATAAGTTTACTTTGTTACCTCTGTTGTCTTTGCGAAAATTATGGCATAAGTATGTAATAAGTTATTATAACGAACAGTCATTCCATTTTTTTTTTCAATAGTATAACTTTATAAAATATATTAGACATATTGTATTGAATATTCACATAATAGATATATACTAAATGATGTTCCTCCATAGAAGTGGTTAGTGATATCAGTAAAACTGCTTTGATATGCAACGACAATCACCTCCATGATCATTTTTCTGAAAAAACACATACAAATACTCACAAAAAACCTATATCGGTCGGTAAGGAATCCTCTGCCGGTCTGAACTGGACCGGTCGCTTACCGGTACTGGTTGCAACACTGTTATGCACATCGTCCTTGAATATGATTTTATGCTTTTTTTTACGAAGAACTTGAATATCATCTTGAAGTTTATTTTTGACCTCTATTTTAGTGAAGGAAATTATCAAAAAATAATTTGTCAAATTTGTAAAAAATATTATGTTTTGAGCTTTTTTGTTTTCCAGTGAGTGAGAGTAAGTTGAGAGGAGACCACATCAACACTAGTGATGGGCCGAAACTGTACGTTACGAACGTAAGAGAAACGAAAGAACGAAAAAAAAATTCTTGCGACTATGACGTAAGGAAGACGTAATTTTTCTTTCCTTTCTGTACGAAATTACGGTATAACGTGTTACCAATGACGAGCAAGATATATGTTATTCCGTAATTTCGTACAGGAAGGAAAGAAAATTACGTCTTACTTACGTCATAGTCGTAAGAAATTTTCCTTTCGTTCTTTCGTTTTTCGCGTTAGAGTTTCGGCCCATCACTAATCAACACCGACAATCATTTTATGCTACGAACAGAAACCCGCTTTTGTCCAAAACAGAATTATATGCAAGCGGACTTTTGTTGCTCGGAAGTATTTATATTTCACTTACAAAAACTATCTTTAAGAAAATAAACCATTTCTTCAAAGAAAAATTTTCGCAAAAATGACCCAGGAAAACCCTTGCCACATTTTTCGAAAAAATCTTTCTTTGTTAGAAAATGTATTGCTTTACACGTCATTCGACGCAGTTTCACTCGCTGATTGCGAAAATCGCCTTTCATTTTCGCTAGGATATTATTTTAAGGATAAAATCAGGGATTTAGAGTAAAAAACCAGGGTTTTTTCGAAACCCGTAACTTAGTCGACATTCACTAATGCTGTTCGGCACTGTAAACAACGCTAGATTTCACATGGGTGTGGGTGTGGGTGTGGGTGTGGGTGGGTATGGGTGGGATGGGTGTGGGTGGGGGTGTGGGTGTGGGTGTGGGTGTGGGTGTGGGTGTGGGTGTGGGTGTGGGGGTGTGGGGTGTGGGTGGGTGTTGGTGTAGATGTAAGTATTAGTCATGTTTTCACATCCACACCCACACCCACCCCCACACCCACCCACACTCACACTCACACCCACACCCACACCCACCCACACCTACGTCCACCCCACACCCACACCCACACCCACAATGCGTTCAAAGAAGAACGAAAAGTGTCCATTAAAACATGTTATTTTGTCATTTCTGACTGCTTGGGTATATATATTCCGTGACAGAATCGATAGCAATTGTTTATTTCTTTTGGATTCTTTTTGGCAAAATATCCACAGAAAAAACTGCGTTATATCGAGAAAGAGGACGTCCGAATAGGAGACAAGTGCATTCGTATCAAACGAAGCAACTAGACGACCTGATGGAAAGAAAAGAAAAAACATTAATATTTTATTATCCAATCAATTTCTAAATGAAAGAGCACAATTATTTCTCTTACTGTTTCTCACAGAATTTATCTTTTCTTCTGACAAGACATGCATTATTTTTTTATTCCAAGATGATATACGTCGATGCCATAGTGTGCATTTGAGGTCAAAGTTCATGAGAAAATCGATAAAAAGTCATCAAGCGATTTCATCTTCCTGCTCAGCTCACTCATTTCTTTCCAACATAACATGCTGCTCAAAATTCTATCTTTTCTCCATTGCTTTTTGTATTTATGTGCATATCATATACCAAGTAAGCTACAAATTTCTAACTAGAAACTAGATTTGATGTCATCAAAAGAATCTTATTATGTCATCTAAAAGATTTACATTTTTTATCATGGTCATTGATAATTTTGGAAAAAATACGATGTATTTTATAGATGACAGAAAAAATTGCTCTTCGCTTGACGATGCTATGTGCATAGTACATTTCATAAGATACGACGGCGAATAGATCATCGAATATGTCATTTTTTATATTTTGTTCCCTTGCAATTGCCTTTTTCTCGTATCTGAATAGTCTTCAAAGGATTAACTTCTTAAATTTTTCTACTTTTCTATTGATTAACGATGAATAACTAATGATGAATTCTATATGAAAAAAATGTTACATATCACCTTATAGTTTACTTTTTTGCATCAAAGTTATCGTTTATCAATTATAAAACCACCTTTGAGAAGAAACAAATTTTCGATAAAAGAATTTTACAGCAAGAAATATCACAAAAATACTTTTCCTTCATTTTTATTATTCAAAAAACGTTTTTCTTAAAGTTTTTGTAATGTAAATGATTTGATGGAGTTCGTTTGATGTAAATATCATTTTGGTCTTCATTTGACATGTTCTGAAGTGAACACTCAACTCTATATGATAAATCAAGACTTTTCATACATCTGACATTGCATCAGGAACGTCTATGATACTTAGTAGGTGTTATTGATATTGCTAATACATAGAGAAAAGTATCTTCTAGCAAAGTTTGAACTAATTTGAACCATTAATACCATTCTCATGCTAAGGTGACTAAATATCAGTTTAGAAAATCTATGTTTAGCAAATCTTCCATTCTTTTTACGAGGATTCAGAAACAAAAGCGAAAAAAAATCTGAGCAAGATACAGAGTTGATGGTGCAAATGTATAATATGTATTGAATTTTCTTATCATTTCGGATATTTGTTTGGAAATTTAGGTTTTTTTCATAAACAATTATTATCAGAATCATTTTTGACCAATTGACTTCATAATGAACTTGTTCAATGGACGCTGTGTAAAAGACGAAGAATCGGATTCTGGTAGATCTTATGATGTACACGATCCATTAGAACCCATTAGCATCCGATAGGATCCAAAATATTTCAAGTAACAAATCTAACAAAAAGAAAAAGAGGAAATCCTAATGGGCTCTGATCGATTCTAGTGGACTTGTATAAATCAATCATCAAAATTCAGAAGGATTCGCTGAATTTATCAGGATCCATTTTTTCTTTCCTTGGTTTTCTTAGAAAATTTCCAATCGATGAGATTTAGTATTCGACGCAAAGTACAAGTGAATTACGTATATTGTTTAGGTTATATTAATCGATCAATGTGTAATCTTCCATGGCACTTCTAGTACATGGAGAGGTTTCCTTACATCTTTATAACAATTTGATTGATTTACTACTTGTATAATGTAATTAACTCTAGGTAGTCACAGATGGACGATCAAATATTATTCGAATACAAATGATGGTAAATATGATCGATCCATTAATGGCTATGAATTCGATACAGCATTATACGAAACTGAAAGTGAATATCATTCTCTTTATTTATACTCATCATTTTAGTATTTTTCACATCATTTTAGTATCATCTAACATTTGTGACGAATATAACATCCATCAAACGGTGAGACGATTTGGCAATAATTCAGGCTATGTCTTTTGCACTGGACGTAAAAAAGGCATTCAACAATTATGTCTATCAGGTACTGAGGTGACATTTCAAGTCGATGGATGTGTCAACAAAACAAGTAAGTCAAAATGACAAAATAATATTTTGATTTTTTAAACTATTTTGTATTATTTTAGCAAATACAACAGTATTTCCAGCTGGATCTCGATGTGCTTTAAAACCTTGTGAAAATGATGGTCTTTGCTTTGATTTGTCATCAGCTGATGCATATCATTGTGTTTGTCGTGATCCATATACAGGTGTTCATTGTCAAATACAAGAACGAATATATCCTCCATTTATATGTGGTAATAGAACATCGAAAATTCTGCCATACTCTCAAACTTTTACATCAGATAAGGCCCTTCCTTACATTTGTGTATGTTATATAAAAGGTTTACGATACGTGGTTTATGCACTCAATAATTGTCATAATGAAAAATTATTTCATAAAGTTTGTGATGGCAAAGAACCTTTTGTTGGCGCTTTACCATTTACTAATAAAGCCTTTTATATTTGTCTGCCTGAGTGGCGTGGTGCGCATGTGCTATCATGTGGCTTAGATCATGTGTGGAATGACACACAAAAAGAATGTGTACCTGAATATACATTAATGTAAATTTTTTTCCGTTTTTATGTATTGTTTTTTAACTATGTACATTTTCTTCAAGGATTTCTTGTTAACTTGATCTAGAAAAGTGTCGAAATAATAGATGTAGTTGATAAATAAACTGAAAGAAATATATTCTAACAACTTCTAATAATTGGTGAACAGATTGTAACGACAAACTGGATTGAGTAGCTTACCGTCGCCCTCGGTAATGATGTTTATTTGACTACTTCATATATTCAGAGTGTAACTGCTTCAATACAACACACGCTTATATAGGAGAGAGAAGAGAGAGAGAAAAGCACAGGAAGGAACAATAGAGAGAGATAAAGAGGAAAGAGGAAAGGAAGATCAGCAGGAGGTGATATCAATATCGGCACACAGATCTAGATCGATCAGGATGAAACTATGAATGACGAACTTTATTAATTATTATTACTGATAATCATGAAGCTGATTCGATAATACTTTTGAATACATTCAAGTGT